CATCTTTCGCAGGAAGCAAGTAAAGTCGTTTTGCACGGATTATTATTATCGATGTGCTTTTGTAGTGTTTTTACAATAAGATTGTATACACATGAGTGTTAGGTCGATGGATATGAAGAAACATACATTAGAACCCATCGTGGGAACTGGAAAAAAGAAAAATACTTCACAACAATGTCGTGTGTGCTCAGTTAAGAAAATACGCAGTGTAATGCGGTATAAGTGTAAATTTTATAAGGTACCCTTACACAAAGAAAAGTGCTTCGAACGATATCATACTTTAAAACATTTTTAAATTCTTGATTTTCTTAATTTTTGATTTTTAATAAGATATTTTTATTTTTTTAAAGGGAATAAAGAAATTCATTTTTAAAGAAAAACTAAAAGTTTTATTTAAAAAAACCTAAAATTCAAAAACTACAGATATTTTGTGTAGAAATAATTTTGCGTACGAACTGTAAAAAATCGTGCGCTATCGGGTGAGAGTTTGGCGGCAAAGCACCCGTGCAAGATGTGTTAATTTTGATTTGTTAACAAACAATTTATTACCACTAAATCCTGTTTAACGCATTGCAGATCAGACTCGACAAATAGGTACCTAAGGTCTTTTGATGGTATCGTTCGATATATTAAAAATACATCGCTTTTTGCAACGAAGAGCAGATTTTATTCATAAAGCGTAAAGTTTATAGGTCTTGTAGCATAAGTTTTCAGAACACGTGGCTTTTTTTATCGCGTGCTTCAAAATGTCTCGTTCAAACTAACTACTGTGCCAAAAACGGTTCTGTCTGCGACACGTTAATATTTCGAGGATTTAAAAGAATTTTAACGTTTCATAAATCATTGTCAAGCAATACGCAGCAATAAAAGAACTCGGTTTCAATTGTATGACATTGATTGATCCTCGAACCTTTTATCTTCAAAAAATACCTTTAGTCGTTTCGAAAGTTGGAATGTTTGTACTCTGGCAGTCGAGTGATTCTATAACTTTGTTATACTTGCTTGAACCAACTATACCTATTAGAAATAACATATTTAAAAAGTAGACAATTAGCTCAATATGATTTTAATCGGATTTCGATATTAAATCAGTATTTAGGATTAGGATTACGATCACGATCAATCGTGACTAATGGAAATTCGAATAAATGAACAATCCTGAGATAATTAGAACAAATTTACTTTGTTTTCCAATATAACTAGGTCTTGGACTATCTATGATCAATAAAAGTATAGGTGAATAGACAATCCAAAAGTCCAATGAAAATTAATCGAAGTCATAAGCCTATAGGATTCAGTTTAGGTTAGGTTTATTCTATTCAATGTTAACTATCATCTTAGCTATCATATAAACAATTATCTTAATAATTATCCTATACTAGATATACTAAATATTGTATAAATAGTTATACTAACTAATCTTGATTATATATATGGATATTTGAAAACATAACATGGAAGAGTTTAAAAGTGGCGAACAAGTCTGCGTTGCGTTGCCTTAAAGAATAGGAATATCGTGCTTACATAACATTTATTTTATGTAAGAGGACTCCTAAAAACAAACACTAATTTCATGAAACATGTACACTTGATCGATTTCATCAAAAATATGTATACTTGAACGATTTCACCAAAAAACATTTGTTTATCAAAATTTCTATCATGCGAATATTTATTGTAGAATTACATGGATTAATCCGAGAAAAAAGAAAGGTACTGCATATGGTTGAATGTTGAAGATTGAATTCGTAATTAACCCTTTGCACTCGAGAGGTGAGCTTCAGTCACCATTTCATAAAATTTGGAAGATCGATATTAATTAATATATCAAATTTAATGTAGTGTAACAGTGTGCGAGGTATCGAAATCAAATAATTCTACAATTCTGTTATTATACAATTCTTTATTTACTGCTCAAAAAAGTATCGTCAGTTTTTTAGTAGAGAATCTTTGAATTTCTACTCTTCTTTAGCCAAAAAATCGTCGAGTGCAAAGGGTTAACACTAAGCCTATCATGGTCTAAATCACCGTTTTCCAAACTTTTATTCAAAATTCCGCGTTCAACGTTTCCACCTTAATCACTTCGCGATTTTTCTTCTAATATACGTATAATTATTTTCTCAATGTTACCCGGTATTTCATTTTTTAAAGCTTCTGGTTATTTTCCATTCACCGATCATTTGACCGTGGTGTGTTTAGTGTTAACCCCTTGCGCTCGACGATTTTTTGGCTAAAGAAGGGTACGAGATGAAAAATTTTCTGCTATAAAACTGATAATATTTTTTGAGTAGTAAATAAGAAATCGTATACTAATTAACATGTAGAATTATTTAATTTCGATACCTTGTACACTGTTACATTATTTTAAAGTTGATATATTAATTAATATCGAGCTTCGAAATTTTATCAAATGGTGACTAAAGGGCACCTTTCGAGTGCAAAGGGTTGAAGAACAAAAGAAAAAAAGAAACTTATTTTCGAAAGAAACCGCAATGGCGTTCGTCTTGTTCCTAACCTAACTCTAGCAATTAGGCGGGAAATTAGAATCACTGTAAATACGTGTAACATATCAAGAGTTATATAACATTTATGCGTAGAAATTTGAAAGTTGAACATAGTCATAAATAGAGAATAAACATAATAAATGTCGTCCTCTTAATATTTTTTAAAATTCCTCAAAGATTTTGATAATTTATAATTTTTATTTTTATTTCGTGTGCGCTCTTTGTCTATTTTGGACCAAGGAAAATAGAATTTGGAAGTGAATAGGTGAGGTGCTCTTGACAAGCATGAAGAAAAGTACGAGGGACTTGTTATCAATGTGAGTATGCTGATGTTGAGGTGTATGGCTCCATTATGCAGAAAATGCGAGAATTAATTCTACCGCCAGAATCTAACGACCTCGGGCGAGATTTTCACCGTCTATGTCGTCAACTAGATTATATTCTTGCTAAGAAAAAAAGGGATCGTTAAAAAATTTGAAGAGTTTCAAGGAAATGAAATGTTCCAGTTATTTGAAGGAAGGTAAAAGAAGGACAAAAATTTGCTCACTGAAATGGAATATTTACTGTAACCCTGGAATCGTTAATAATAATTCAATTATAGTTTTCTAGAAAATAGGAGACTATTTACTATGAAAATATGAGCACACGAGGTTGTTGGAAATGAGTAGCAAAAACAAACAGCTGATTATTATAAACTAGTGTATTTTGTCCAAAATATAATGATATTTAATAATAAAAATTTGTTATGGCTTTTTAGTTAGAATCAAAATTATCTATATAATTCATTAATAAGTAAGGTGGGCTTAATTCAAGATTGGAGAATTTTCGTTTCCTTTTGAAGCTTGGATATTAATACTTCTATTAAGACTCTTGGTGTTAGAATTCATAGTTTTTTTTTGGATTTTATAGAAATTCATAAGATAGTATGGAAGATATTTAATTTAATTTATAGATTGAAGAATACTGTAATTTTAATACAATTTATTAAAATACTGAAAATTGCTATAACTTTAATACATTTTATAATTCGAAAATTACTAGAGAATTATTAATTTTTCAAAAGTAATTATTATTAGTTTTAATTTACATTATTTAATTAAAATTAGTATTAATTTTCCAGTAATTAATTGTTATAAAAATTCTATAAATTTTCTAATAATTAATTACTAATAAATTAATTTAAACTGTTTCTACTTCGTGTAGCATAATAGAACTTCTCCATTAAAAAATTTAAGGGAATAACGTTGCATGTATTAGAACACATACTGCAATGTTATAATGGCATTTCGTTTTAAATTACTTTTTATCCCAACGACACAAGAAAATTGCACTTTTAGCTGGAACCTCTTAACTGTTCCTAGAAACGTTCTCCAAAAAGTAACAATTTCTTTTACGATTAAACCGCAGTTAGAAAGAAGTTATATACTACATATTTTCTTAGAAATAATAAACCATGGCAAGAAGCAAAAAGGTATACCGATTTCTTTATGCCTGGTAAATTCTTCCACGAGAGAAAAGGCTGATACCACGTTTGAAATTAGCACGCAAGGGCGTAGACTAGCGTAATTATTACTTTCCAACGCAATTATCGAATATGCAAGTCCACTCACCGTACATCTGCTGAATCCCATGTCTGTCGTCTTCCGGCAACTCGTAATTAGAGCTCAATCCCTGGTACCAAGGATACATGAGCGCTCCAGGAACCGAGCTGTGCGCCAAGCCAAGAGAGTGGCCAAATTCATGCGCGGCTACCGCGAAAAGGCTGGTCCCTGAAAGGCAAAGAAGCGTTTGAGACTTCACCGTCTTACTCGACCATTCATCCTCTCACCCACGTATTTTCATTCGCGTTATCCGCGTCTTCCTCCAAGTTGCTTTTATGGAAAGAAAAGAGGGCTCGCTAAGTAAGGCAGGCCAGACTGAGGATGCGTCTCTGTCAGAGGTGAAATAAAACCAGCGAGAAAAGTAGATCGTTTGGACACTGTTTCGGTACAGAATTTCGTGTTAATGCTGTGTCTGACAGTTTATGGTCCATTGAACACAGTTGTCGAGCTTTCTATGTCAGAATTCTTTTAACCATGTTTCTTGATCCTTTTATGTGCCTTGTACGAGGTGTCATTAAAACATGGAATATTTAATAATTGGTCATATTTCATATTTTTGGGTATGTAGAAGGTTGTTGAAATAGTATAAACCGTCCTTATTGGATTGGGAATAGCAAAATATTTTATAAAGTGGAAGTGCTATTCTGTTTATAAGAAAATATAACTTGCATGTTACAGGTTTCTTTGTACTACAGAATTTTTGTTTGTAAGCTTTTTTCTGTATCTTTGAAAATTATGGAGATATTCAAGGTGGGCAAAGTTATTGATCCAACCTATAAATGTGTTTTAGTTATACGACATGCAAGTATAACTATGATGTACATTTATGTAGGAAAGTTTTCGAACGTTTACATTTACTATGTTCAACAAGTCCAATATGAATGTTAAAGTGAAATATTTAAAATGATATAGTACATGTACATAGTAAGAAGAAAATTCCAAAATTATATAGGTAGAGTTAGAAAATAGTTCAACGATATGTACAATATTTATATTACATTTATTGGAGATATGGACTATGGTGGCGCTAGTGAGTTAAATGAAAAATCGTCTTAGTGCTAGCATAAGCAGCAAAATATGAACCAACGTCATATTGAACCTCCTATTTTTTTTATTAATGGTACTTTTCACTAGTATTATACGTTATTTATTAAATATTTTCATGATTCACCAATACTCCATACTTATTATACATGTATCATTAATATCATACTAATCGAATTATTTTCTAATTTTACTCATATAATTTTAAGAATTTCTTCTTGATATACACATTATCGTCTCAAACGTTTCAGTGTAACATATATATATCACTTTTCAAAAATAACACACGTGAACGTTCGAATACTTTCATGTATAAGTGCTCTTGTATAATGCATGTGATATATGTATTTTGATACAGTTTCAAGAGTAATTCAACTATGTTAAAGAAGAATTTTATATAAGTTTTTATATAGACTTTTAGTATGTAATAATTTCTATGAAATTTGCAACAATTTTTTTGGAAATTTCCTTGAAACGAAGTTATGTCTTGTCTATTAAAATGTTGATGTGTATGGTATTCTTCTCATGTCTTTAATTTTAATTATTATTATAAATGATTTAGTTTAAATTATGTAAATTAATTTTTACGTACAGTAAATTGTAATTTTATTTAATATTTATAATTATGACCATACGTTACGGCTTTACCTAATTTATTATTCAATTAATTATCTAAGTTATCTTAATTAACTAATTAAATATTATTAAATATCTAATTAATAATTAGATAATTAACAAAATTTTTGGATTCATAAATATAAATGTTTCGAAGTTTAGATAGTGAAACTCAGGTTGATCAAACTTCAAATATTATGGTTTACAAATAGAGTTTACAAGGATATATCGTTAAATCAGTGAAGTATAATTAAGTTTATGCTTGTCCGTCCTATTTCAAGAATTAAAATATTCAAATAGCTTTATTTGTACACTTCATAATCCCTTTTATGTTTTTTATTCTTATATTTTTTATATTTTCAACAGTACTATATACAGTATCATAAAATTTCATTATTCAAAAATTTTGTATTAAAATTTCTATTATTAAATTCTATATCAAAAAGACCTAAAAGTATGGTATTTCATTTTTATATGGAACAATATTTAATTGATACGAAAATATAGCTTAACAGTAGATCTGGGTTTGAGTAACCATTGAATAAAAAAGGCAGGAAAGAAGAAAAATAAAGGAAAAAAATAGTTTGTTGAAAATTGATTATTTTTCTTATGCAAAAGTAAATTCTTATTATTCTTCTCCTTGTTCACCTATCAAGGTTAGATCAGTTTTTAACTTCTTGAATGGAAATGCATCAAACATATCAAACACAATTTTAAATTCAACTCTGACTATGTTTTCTTTGAGAATTACGCTATTTGCTTATAAATAAATTATAATGAAATATTTTAATTTTTTTTCTTGAATAACTACGTGAATAACTTTGCAATAAAATTAACCTTGGGCACTCGAATATTTTTCCACTATAGGGCAGAAATAACTCGAATCTTTTTGTTGCAAAATCAATTATACTATTATAAATATAAATATGTTGAATTTATAATCAATATTTAATTGTTAAATTATTTCAAACTTAAAATCGATTATCGCTTTTTTCAATTTTGCTAAGTCGATGATTAAGAATCGTCATTCAAATGCAAAGAATTAAATAGTTTAAACAGACACGTCTGTTGCAAAACAAATCCTAATTGTAAAATAAGGGGTTAACAATATTTTTAATTTATATTTTCGCCATTTTTGTGATACACACTTTCAAGCTACATAAAATAGTATGATTTTTACATAGATAATAACACTCGAATAGTATTCCTAGTTAGTCTTAACGAAATGCAAATGTAAATTCTTAACAACAAATATGTAAGCCAACGATGCTATATACTGTGCACAATTGCAACATGGCATGCAGGAGAAATGCTGCTACTATTTTGATTAGGCAGTATTGTGAATGCTCTGTAAAGGTTAGGAAGTGTAAGAGAACAGTACAGGAAAATGATACATCTTACTACAATATACTCATTTGTAAAGTTACTTTTGGCAATTTCATATCTTAAACGTCAAGAGAATATGTGATACCGCAGAAAATGTCTTTATACAAAAGGAATAGTTACTGGAAACTTTCGAGAATCGTGTTTTGAATGTGTATCCCCCTTTGATGGTCACCGTAGTATAATAGGTTTATCTTTTGTATAACATACGAATTTTTAATATTGAAGCTTTGAATTTTGAATGATCAAAGCTTTGATATTTACAAATCGAATCACATTGCATTTGACGAGAAAGCGTGCTAACAAGGAACACCAGAATGGTGTAGAGCAGAGAAATAATGATAGACGTGACAAACTTTGAAATATTGGCATGGAAGTAGGATCAAAGTACTGTTATTATCATATAATATAAATATAATATAATAGTATATATAATATAATATGGATTCCAAAAATATTCGAATGATTTTCGAGTCTTTCGTGATTGCTAGAGAGTTAAGTGTATTTCTGATCCGTTGCACATCTCTGACACCCTAACTTGCAATTAACACCACTAGAACACTAGAACTAACGATCTATAACGTGTACAACAGTACAAAGTTAATAATAGTTAAAGTCATATAATAAATATTAATTATAAGTTATATAATAAATTATAAATTCCTTAATATATTAATATATTAATTATAGACCATGTAATAAATATACATAATCACATTACTATCGTTGTTAAAAATAGTAATATATTTTCAATAATTATAAAAATGAAATTAGTTATTCGTAAAACAAGTCATTTCACCGAGACTAATTATTGTGCCACGTTTGCTAGCTTTGCTGTTAATTTTGGGAGAAATTATGAGTTTATGGGTTGTTGGAATGTTCAATGCATCATATTTTTATTGAATTTTTCTCAGAACCTGTTGTTATATCACTTGATATATCAATTTAAGAAGCAGCAATGACATTGATTACTCTAATTTAGGTATTATATTGTTACGAGATCATATCTATCCGGTATTCGGCCAAGAAGAGCAGATCGTAACTTCGGTGCAGAACAATCCAGCATCTCCAAGAATGTTCGGTTTAAATAACAATCGGCTGTTGACTATAAAAGGAACGTCTTCCATCGAAGTTCAGAGTATGCTGTCAACCTTTTCACTAGGGAAAATCTATTCTCACATTTTAGAAGTCTTCGGCAATCCAGCGATCGAACTCGAAGAATAAGAATTACACTCGCGATTTGTAACAATATCATCGGCTCTTTTAAAATCCCAAGTATCTCTAAACTCATAGATCTCCAAAGGTTTCTAGAACTCCAAATATCCTAGATCTCTAGATTTCTAGAGCCCTAAATATTCTAGGTCCCTAAATCTCTAGAGCCCCGTATTGTTAGTTAGGAGAGGTTAACAAGGTACATAGAGGTACAGGTCAATAGAGGAAGCAGACCAAAGGAGAAACGATCTTCGTGCCAGCAGGTTGCTATAAGCTGTGTCAAGTGTTTATAACACATCTAAAATACAGACGTAACTTTCGTAATATTCATAGCCTAAATGCTAATTTTCTCTATTTATAGAGATCTGTTTATACTTCAACTGCTGACTCAAATAGTCTACAGCAACATTTGATGTTTTTCTCAAATATTTTCTTGTTTGGAGTCTGCATATAAATCCTGCAACGTTAACAGTGAGTTTCCCCTCATAGATAGTTTTCTAACACGATTATTTATGAATAATTATACATATAGTACTGTGTCAAGTGTTCATGACATATCTAAGAGGCAGACACATGTTTTAATATTCTTCATAGCTTACAAAGACACTGATTTTCTGTTTCTGTAAACATCTGTTTGGATCCTGACCTTCCTCATTAGCAGTAGTTCTCAGTATTTTTAATTTCACAGCATATTAAATTAAATATTAAAATTCTGTGACACGTCGAAAAATATACATGATTAATAAAATAAAACTTCTTTTATGAGTTTATATTCGTGATTTAAGATGAGGAATTTACACTTGACGACAATTGCTATGTTGGATGTTACATTTTCATTTGAAAAAATAAAAAGAGGAAAAAGACGAGTACTCTTGATTAACCAGGAATTCTACGTTTTAAACATTTTTATGACA